ATGCTTCCACAAGAAAGAGCGAAAGCAGAAAGTTACAATCAGGCTACTAGGTAAAATAGGTGGTAGTTGGCTGCTTGCGTGGCTTCGCACATCGCGACCATCATCTCGCATCAGTCCGCGCGCGACGAAAATAATTGAGGCTTATACGCCGGAAAATAGGGTATATGTTTTTTAATCTGCTAAGCGATTACCTAGGAGGAGTATGGAAGTTTGAATGTGCGATTTGTCAAACGCTTTGTGCGCATGTTCCGCAAAATATGATTCAAAAACACTCATCTTCGTTTTTGTTGAATGTGCTTCTTCCTGGTATTTAAAGTAACCACGACCACTGTGAATCCGCGTCATCAGGCTGCCTTTCAAGGAAATATATTCGCCGAAACTCGAAAAATTTCTCATTTCAAACGCTCATAACTCCTCCAAATAGTCGCTTGGCAGATCGAAAGCGTATATTTGAAATCAGCGTTTTAAAACGAGTCCGATGATATACAGCATGTTTGGTATGGCTGAGTTGAGTTCTGACTATTCCCTGCTAAGCATTTCATGGTCGGTCCCTTAACACGGCCTCCCCCATAAACAATATTCGTGAAAAAAATTCTTATGTAGCAGCGCGTAATTACAAATGTGTTCAAGATATTTCTATGTACAGCAACCCCAAATTGCAAACTGCTTCACTGCTTTACCACACGCTTAGGTATTGAAGAACAGGTTTTAACGTAGAAAGTACTAAAAACTTCAGTAAAGGTTCAGCCGTTGAGGGCAAGACCTCACCCAGAAAAATGTTCCGAGCTGATTCTTCCCTAGATTAAACACAGTTGCTGGTTTCAAAAGGCAATTTGCACTTGATCCTTATTTCTTTAAGGTGTAGTCATACCGTAACGGCAGTTCGGCAGATAATCTTAAAGATCTCCTTTACCATATATAAGCTCAAAAGACCTGCACAAAGTTTGTTTCTAATGGGACCATGCTCGATCTCTCTAAATGGATAACGCTTTCAAATCTTCCTTTTTCATAACAGCTGATATGCATTTCAAAATCCCATCATCTTATATATAAAGCTGAATGTCTGTTTGTCTGTATGTATGTCTGTATGTATGTCTGTATGTCTGTATGTATGTACGTATGTTCCGAATAGAAAATTTTATTTCTTAACCGATCCGGACCAAACTTGGCACACATACCCTTCGGGGCCGGGCGGGTGTCATAGGCTACTTTTCGTTATCGATCGATATCGATTTTATCGATTTTTATCGATTTTTTTGCTGAGTTCACCTACGGGGCTGGGAGTTGGCACAGGGGGGTAATCGAGCATGGGGATTCCGAATACAATATTGGTTTTCAGGATTATCGATTACTTTTATCGATTTTATCGATTTTTTTGCAAAGTTTGAGCTACGGGGCTGGGAGTTCGCACAGGGGGGTAATCGAGCATGGGGATTCCGAATACAATATTGGTTTTCGGGATTATCGATTACTTTTATCGATTTTATCGATTTTTTTGCAAAGTTTGAGCTACGGGGCTGGGAGTTCGCACAGGGGGGTAATCGAGCATGGGGATTCCGAATACAATATTGGTTTTCAAAATTATCGATTGCTTTTATCGATTTTATCGATTTTTTGCAAAGTTTGAGCTAGGAGGCTGGGAGTTGGCACAGGGGGGTAATCGAGCATGCTGATCACCCCCAAGGGGGGTGATCAGCATGCTCGATTACACCCCTGTGCCAAATTCCAGCCCCTAGCTCAAATTTTCAAAAAATCGATAAAATCGATAAAAGCAATGGACGATCTTGAAAACTAATATTGTGTTCGTAATCAGCATGCTCGATTACCCCCTGTGCAAACTCCCAGCCCCGCAGGTCAAACTTTACAAAAAAATCGATAAAATCGATAAAAGTAATAGACGATCCTGAAAACTAATATTGTATTCGGAATCCCCATGCTCACTTCCCCCCCTGTGCCAACTCCTAGCCCTGTAGGTGAACTCTGCAAAAAAGTCGATAAAAATCGGTAAAATCGACATCGATCGATAACGGAAAGTGGACTGTGACACCCGCCGGGGCCCTAAGTGTATGTGTGCCAAGTTTGGTCCGGATACGGCGGAGCCGGGTAAGCCAGCTAGTGACTTATAATAAGCGGCTTAATCTGAAGTTGTGTGGAGTTTGTCCGTTACGAAATTACAGTGAGGAATGATTTACGATACTAAACATCATGTGAGGTTAAGATAACGACTATGGTTCATTTTTAACTACGGCTCACGTTGCAATAAACCGAACAATGATTTGAGAGACAAGCTCTCAGAAAGTGAGTTTACCACGGTTCACGATGCCAGTGCGAACCTCTGCGAAGCAGAGGTGAAGCACTGGTCTTGAGATAAAGCTGGTCTGGATTTTTTTCTTGCAATGAAAGTGAATTCGTTGAATATTCTTTTTGAATGAACAACTTCTCACTGATAGATATCTTCTCTTTCATGACTCCAAAGTATTGAAGTTGACTGAGCGGAAATCGGGGCCAAACATCTAACAAGGAAATGGTCAGAAGTCTAAATGGCCAATCCAAACAAGCTGCATACCTTTCGATGCAGCATATAACGCTGATTTCAAATCTTCCTTCCTTATCTACAGAGCGTCTTTGCAGGCGAAGTTATGAGCAGCTTACTGTGAAAAAATCGTACATAAAAATTGCGAAATTGGGCACATTATTGCTCTTTTAACTCATCTCTAAATACGGGTCATACGAGGTGACCTAGTTGCATTTTTTGGTGCAACGCTGAGCCAAGAATGGCTCGGTACGGCCAAGTTTGCCCTTTACACGCACGATTTCTTAGCAAAATAATGGCCTTCAACGGCTTCTAATTTTATCCACAAAAGTGCTCTGCAGATAAGGAACACAGGTTTAGAGTCAGCGTTTTATGCTGCATGTAATGGTATGCAGTCTGTCAAATTGACCACTTCGATTTCTGACCATTCCCTTGTAAGTGGCATTAGTTGATCTTGTGCGGAGTGACACTGCCTTTGTGGTTCTTCCACCATGCGAGTAATCTTTCTTGATTGTAAAATGTCAAAATAATACATGTAAAAATTCAATATTCATATCAAAACTTTTCGTTATTGGTGGCGAAGTCCCAATGAATTTTTTGAAACTTGTCATGAAAAGCTAACCTCTACAAGTTTCAATGTAATACTCTGAATTTTTACTGAACAGAAATATTTTAATTCTGCTCCATCCGAAACAAATGTTGTCACTGCCTCTCGCAACTTCAAGCTCCGCGCGAGTATGTATAAGATCGGTGCTTCTACCACAGAGCCGAAGCTAGTGGGATTGTTTAAAGTCCCTAGACAGTAGTAAGATCAAGTAAGTAATAAAAATTCTGCATCACATAAAGTTTGAATTCTAGCTACAATTTTCAAAGAAGGGAGTTTTGGTAGGTATGCGACCGAAACAATGCTCAAAACAACGATCCCATTAGAATCTTCTGATTAGTTTCTTTAGCAGCGTCCAAGATTGGTACAGATATTTATTCCACAGTATGCAGACTGACGTTTCGGCAAACTCGCCTTCTTCAGAGTCTGAAAAGTCGAAAACACATAAGTGAACTATCCGATCAAACACCTTATCGACTACAGAAAAGAGCCCAACCCTCTAGACAAGCAACAGTATCAAACAAAACGCAAGATTAAGCTAGTGCTCACCTTAACAGATGATAGATTTAGTGGGTGCAGACCACTTATGTCAAAAACTGTACTGCATTACTTTTATATTAATCTAGTGACCCGGTCCTGACCTGACCTCATTATTCAAAAGCCACAAAGGCTCTGATAAGGTGACAGCTCGTTAGTAATGGCTAGGCACTCATCCTTCCGGTTGATTTTTGGATTTTGGGCGGCTATCCAAAACGCTTCGAGTGCTTGCGCGCTAGGATTTCGGGTTCACGCGCCAGGATTCGAACCTGCACTCCCACCTCCGCGTCGTCATGGCTGAGCCTGCGATGCATGCCTAACGGAGTAGCTACATTGCCCTTGCTGAGACCATCTAAGTGTTCTTTGATGCGCATGCATAGGGGGCGGCCTGTCTCGCCAATATACGTGTCTCCACATGTTGTACACGTGATAAGGTAGACAACACCTGATACAATACAGTCTCCTTCCTTGCCAAGCGGACAAACTACACAATGAGGAGTTGTACAGAGACGATCATACTCGCGGTTTCGTACCAGTTGCTGCTTAAGGTTTGCAGGAGGAATATCGACGATCCTTACTATGTCGTTGAGGTCTGCTTGATGGAGCACTTTGCGAACAGCCATGCAGTACAGTTTTTGACATAAGTGGTCTGCACCCACTAAATCTATCATCTGTTAAGGTGAGCACTAGCTTAATCTTGCCTTTTGGTTGATACTGTTGCTTGTCTAGAGGGTTGAGCTCTTTTCTGTAGTCGATAAGGTGTTTGATCGGATAGTTCACTTATGTGTTTTCGACTTTTCAGACTCTGAAGAAGGCGAGTTTGCCGAAACGTCAGTCTGCATACTGTGGAATAAATATCTGTACCAATCTTGGACGCTGCTAAAGAAACTAATCAGAAGATTCAAACTATGCCAAGATTTATGGATAGTCGAACATGGATTCTGATCCCATTAGATGTTTCAGAATAATATTTTTTCAGCCAAAGTGATGACATTACAATATCATTCAACGCAGCATTTGATTAGCTTTCATTCAAACAATCAGGTTCTGACTCAACTTCTCTAAAAAGGGATGTATTGCCATCTACCTTGTTTATACATAAAGAGTATGCTTTTATCTATTGCTCATTCTAAAGGTAATTCTTTATTCATTTTCAAATCTTTGCACATACCCAGCTTCTCTTCGAGGATGTTCTGCGTTATGTCATTCTGCTTTTCCTATCAGCGTTATACGGTGGAAAATGAGGCCAAGTAGGAAAAAAGCAAGTTTCAGTACACACGGATTCCTCAACCGACTCCGCTGCTCTGCGGATCAATTTCACTACAAATGCCAGTGTCCATCACTGTTGGCGTTCCCCAGGATCCCATGCCATTGAATTCGAATGTGAGTTTCATACAGTCTAGTAGATTTTCTGTGCCGAGAGTTTGCGGTAAAAATTTGCGCTTGAACAAATAGCCACTTCAATGGCCGGCATCTTGCGCGCTCAAGAGACCGGCATTCTTTACGCGGAAATTTCAAGCAAACTCTCGGCACCGCAAGCACACTATATTGAGCAAAAAACCTACAAGACTGTGAAGTAGTGCACATGCTACTTACCATGACATAATTGAGATACATTTACAAAACCGGAGATTGTCAATTTAGAATGATATCAGCGCCAGCGAGTCAGTGGATTACGACAGTGTGTCGCTATCTGGTACATTTGACGGTCCAAGTTATGTAAACGCCAACAATGTCTTAAAGAGCGTCAGTGCCTGTGCGCCGCCGTATCGCAGCTCTATTTTGTCATATATCTTATGTAAAAAGCTGAATGTCTTTTTATCTGTTCTGTATGTCTGTCTGTATGTGTACGTATGTTCCGAATAGAAAATTCCATTTCTGAACCGATCCGGACCAGGGCACGGCACAGGTGGCTTAGCAAGCAAGCTGGATATCGTTTTTGGGGAAAAAGCAAAGGGGATATCGTTTTTGGGGAAGAGAATAACTTGTCTTCCGATTTGCGGCCGGCACGCTGCCGGCATGCCGCTAGCAAATAAACAAAAGGTTTGTTTACAGCGAAGTGAAGATGAAATGACACCAAAATAGGTGTGTAGGTGGGCAATGGGGAGTTAGAACTAAGTATCAAAAATTATGAAAAAATTATGTGAACTAAAAGCGTGCTCAACTTTTTTCGGCGTTAGGTGGCTTTCAAGCCACCTGGATAGCCACCTGAGGTGGCTTAGGAAAGAAAACGTCATAAATTCTTCCTCCCTCACATAATTTTTCCACATTCTTTACATACTTTTCATCTACATCCCGAACCCTACAAACTGGTTCTTAAACCGCCTCAAACCCCCTTCTCCCCGCTTAGTTATAGCCCCTTGAAAATTTTGAATGGCCGCGGAAAGGCTGCTCTAGACGCGAATTGCTGCACGATGGATACATCATGCCGCCATTCCGGAGAATATGAATATAATTGCTTTGTTCGATGATTCTTTTTCGTTTTTTTCTGCTGTTGCTTTGTTCCGTTCCTTTTCAGTATTCTTCTTCGAATATTGGCGGATGTCGTAAATTCATTGAACTCAAAAGGGACTTCATTTTTTGCAATTTCGGGACGCCCTCGTGCCGAGCCCTGGTTTAGGGTCAAAGGGGACTTCGTAAAAATTCGCAAAAGTCAAGGGGGACTTCGTTTTTTCCATTTTCAACTAGCCACCTCGTGCCGAACCCTGATCCGGACCAAACTTGGCACACATACACTTCGGGGCGGGGCGGGTTCGTAGGCTACTTTTCGTTATCGACCGATATCGATTTTATCGATTTTTTGCAAAATTTGAGCCACGGGGCTGGGAGTTGGCACAGGGGGGGGGGATAATCGAGCATGCTGATTACTAATAAATGTTGATAGGGCCGGGCGGAGCCGGGTAAGCCAGCTAGCTCGCTATACCATACAATATCGCACTTCCGTTTTCGCCTACCATGTCAACATAAACAGGTCAGCACGCTTAGCGTGTTCTTTATTGAAGCTCACTGCACTTCTTCGTATATCTATGCGTGGTGTCTGTCTGCATGTATTCTTGAAAAATTCAAGAGCTGTTCGCATTTTTATAGGTGAAAACAAGTCCCTTGCACAATTTTATAACTCACATAGCCGATAACAAAGAAATTCGCAGTGGTTTCGAATCTCAAACCGCTCCTCACACATAGTCAAGACGCGTGGCGCTTGTTAGGTTTTACTTTTAATTATGCATCCAGATGATTTATTGATATGCTGGAGAACTTTGGAAGTGCTGAAGAAAAATTAGAATAATTTAATGCCGGAGGTGGAGGTGGAAGTGGGGATAGGACAGGAACAGTGAGATAACTAGTACCAAAGTTGATTTCGATGGCGCAGTGGTCTATAATTTGTACTTCTATACATTACACAAATTTCAGTAGTTCAATTCCAGAGCCAATAGATGACAATAGTTCAGATTAGAGAGCGCTGAACTATCAGTCGCAATATTTGCTACAGATTATCTATGGCTTTATTCACCTCTCCTTGTAACCGCTGTAAACAGCGTCCATCCGCACGCCAATCCAATCCCAGTTCCGGAGACCGCCTTTCGAATTCGGCGGAACGGGGATTTTCGGAGTTTCTGTGGATTCTCAACTTCATATTCACAATCAGAGACATGAGAAGGCCCTAGAGGACAAAAATACGGAAGGAGAATGTGACGGTGCCTTCGATGGGCGGAGCGCGTTCGAAGGCACCGTCAAAGGGACGCACAGCATCTAGACAGTGGAGGAACCGTGTTAGTGGACCTTAAATAACAAACACAGTTCTTCTTCTAGGAACTGCTTGTAGACTAAATCATCTGATATCAGGAAGCATGGGTCCGGGTTGTGTGCTGTCTTCAAAATTTTGTGGGTAGTGGCAATTTTTGTGCTCTACTTGCACCTCACAACAATTCAGCTCATCGATTTTGTATGCCGTCACAGAATAGTATCATTCAGCATTTTCGGCATTCGCTTCTTTCGATCCTTTCTTTGGTCTATCCAAGGAACCTTCCTGCAATTGATTTATTGGGTGAATCAATCACTCAGTGATTGAGTGATCAATCAGTGCCGTTTACTCTTTGTCTCGACGTACCTCTTTACTCGACATTGCGCCACGACGCATCCTGATCATTTTTCTGATTGCCACAATGCCTACAAGAATGAGGGCAAGCAAGACACCAACCACGAAACCGATAAAAAGGAATCTTCTTTCTGAAGGGAACACCTCTTATCAGTCTGGCATTTCCAGCAAACTTTGCAAAATAAGGCATTACGCACGTTTCAAGAAACTTGCAATAGTTCCAGGAGTGGACGAAGCACGTTCTAGTGATGATCTGCCTCCACTACTGGATAATACACCTTTTAGTGAATATGCACTGCTTTTAGCAGTGGTTAATGCATTTTTATCCTCTTCATCGTACTGATACTTATCCAGCCATCCTCCCTTGATTCTAGCTCCTATACAGATTTTACTCTACAAAATCCACCGAAAGAGAGCAGGTTAGCTTACGAGACGATACCATAATCGCAACCGCTCAAGATGACTAAAAACTGAGAATTAGCTAGTTGATAGGCTACTGTTTTTGTTTATGAATAAGAGCGCTACATCTGTTAACGCTTGTTTGTATCTGTGCTCTAGCTCGAAAACTACTTTGGAAATCTAAAGGGCCGGGCATATTTCAAGCGATTTCAATCGCGACGCGATCTGGCAATATTCCAGGTGTCCATAACTCATTGTGAGCGCATTATAAATGTACAGAAGATAGGGCATTTTATCACTTTACGTAAGTTATACGCTCTATGCAAACTGCATACGCTCTATGCAGTTTGCTAACGTTGGATCCGAGGACTTCTGGCGAATTGCCAAATCGCGTCGCGACTGAAATCGCGTGAAGTATGCCCGGCCCTTGAGAAAGTATCTCGCGTTCCTCTAAAATCAACAAAAATGTAGAAGAACGCTATAGTATGTGTAAGAGTAGTCAAGCCAAGTGCATCTACTCGAACATCCGCATGAGCTAATGGTTAACGCGAGAGACTACGGGCGGTCTCTCTCATTCAAGAATTTTGGGTAGAGGACTATATGTCGCCGGAAAAGGGCGGTCCCCGCGGTCATTTGCGACAAATACGCACTCTTGTACATGTGCGGACATGCGTTCCTGCAGGGTATCCGCGCGGGACTCTTCCAAATTCGGCGACATATAGTCCTCCACCCAAGAATTTTTCTGCCAACTTTTCTGTACTTCGAAAATTACAGAGTATATTTTAACCAAATGTGACTTCGAATTAACGAAATCTATGAAAACATATTCAGAGGAGCTGCGACATCGTCATCCACGACAATTACGGCGCTCCTGGACTCAATTTCAACCTCTTGTGCGATTGTGTTATAGCCGGTCGCGGGCAGTTAGATTTACATAGCTTTTCGGGCATTTGGATTATACACAACCTTTAAGTCCGCTTTTCTCGAGAGAGGAGAAGGGGGGAGGGGGGTGGAGCATGCGCGCTCATGCTTCGTTTTCAGTTATAAAAGTGTCTCTCAGAGACGGTTAGAATATTCATACAACCTCTATCTCTTCGCCAAAAGCACAGCATTGGAAATCTCAATTTTTCATCTCATAGTATGTTCATCTAAATTTTCACCAACCGCACACACTGTACGTCACTACGGAAGTACAAATGCCCCTGTACAAGTCATGCTTTCAAAGGATTTCGGCAGCGCGCCGCCGCCGGCTGCAGACACGGCCAGTTCATGCGGTCAACGACTTGACGGTACCCTTGTGAAGTTGCTACGATCACTTCCTCGGAGACTGAATAGAATCGTCATCAACTGCGCCACCTTATTGTGGCTTAGTTATTTTTTTCCTAATGTCGCCTAAATTTGTTTTTCTAATTAGACTTCTCTTCAGGCGGACGTATCTACAAGATTTCAAGCCAAGGGAATATGCATCTGTCACGTTTTCTACCGACAGAAAAACCAGGACTCTACCTTGTTTAGAGTATCTCTGCTTCACCATGCTTCCCCCCCCCCCCCTCCCTCGCCCCCTCGCCCACCCGCTTCCCCAAAAAAGTCTTGTTCCCCTAAGAAAGCAGCGAGCACAACTTCTGCGCCACTCGAAATTGCCTAAATTCGAACATCCTCCAAATGATCTAGAATATCAAAATCATACGTAATTACAAATTTGATCTGAGTTTTAGTTTAGAATATGAGAAAAACATCATCTTAATATACAGTGTGTCCGAAAATAATGTGCATACCGTTTTATCGTTAATTACTCACTTTCGCCGATGTCTTTCGCCGATCTTCAGATACTGTTCTGTACAGCTTGCTTCAACTTAGGCTTTCAGTATGAAGCAAGGCTCCGATCTCCTCCGCTACTATGGGATTACGGTATGACTCTCGCCACGCAGCCGAAGTGTAAATTAGCCGTTTGATGAAAAAAAAGTTCCAAGAAAGATTGAAAAATTGTGTAGCAGCAAGAATTTTAAGCAAGCTGATTTCATTACGCTACGCAACTTTGATTTCTGACTTTTCTACATGTGAAATCACATTCTTAAAAAACACTGGGAAGGCAGTTGCTACTGTTTTCCAAAAATAACTCATAGGAAGCATGACCGTGGTGTGGAATTCATATCTGAAATCGGCAACTCTGATTGGCTTAACAAAAGTGTTTTTGGCTTGTTTGGCTTTCTTTCTGAGGCAAAATGCAACTCTCAACGGCTCAAAGCCCTCCTCAAAGTTCCTACCGTAACCCTACAGTAACGAAAAAAGATCTAAGGGAAGCTACCTAACTTAGCTCGGCCTTCTGGCAAGGGACATAGATATGCTAAATCAGCTTCAAACGCTGATTCCAAATATATCCCTAGCTACCGAGCAACACTCCGAAGCGAGTTATGGACTTTTTTATGTGCAAAATGGGCATGCTCATCGACATATTGGCATCACGGCATCATCACCTAAGTGCTAGTACACTTGCTTTTTAGAGGGAAAACACTGGGTTTGTGTTATTTCAATATCTCGCACCTTGTTCTTGCAGATTCCATATATGTCCCCTGCCGAAAGGTCGAGCTAAGTTATGTAGCTTTCCTCATTAGATTTGTTCCATACCGCAAATCCAAGATGAAGAGAGCTCTATATAATGATACGCTGTCCACGGAAAACATCGAAGCAGGCGAGTTATCAAAGGCGGTGTCCGGCGAAATCTCGATCTCCAGTTTTGCACATTCTCGCTGCTACCATATCTCACTTTGCAGCGCTTGAAAATGGCGAAAATGGACTTTTTTCGAGGTTCCCATGTCCGGATTCGCTGGGAAATACATGTAAGTGGGCGGTGTCAGGAGCGAAAGGGCGGGGTCCGGAAGATTTCTGGAATAGATTTCAGGCTTTCCAAAAGCACTTTTTCGCTCCAGACTTCATTAACAGATTGCTTGAGGGGTCTGCCGTTGCAATGCTGTGAAATACCAATACCCATCATTTGCCGAGACTTTGCTTTCAACGATCAAAACATTATGCGCATTATTTTGGGAAATCCTGTATATCTAGTAGCATACATCAATTCTATTTTTTATTTCTTTTACTTCTTAAATTTGTTTCCGTAGCTGGATGTCCTAGCAACATAATCACGTTAACAACTGTACAACCAATATTAGACTGATGATATTCATATAGATGGCGTATCACAGCTTTGTCCACCAGATGTTCTCCTTGTCAACACGGATTTCGTTCCAGTCACAGTATTCAGAGTCGATGTCATTGAGGCCATTACAGACCGCGCGATCGTTTATTCGTAAAGTAGCTGGCTCATCGCTACAGACTTCAGACCTACGGAGAAACTCCACAATCTAAAAATGATATATTTGGATGAAATGTACGAAGGGCCAGATACAGTATTCTTCCGGCTATAGAGTAAGCGAAGATTTTGGCAACTTATAAACACTGTCTCGGCTCAACGTATCACATCAGAATCCGACTCACTCAAATTTGCCAAAATCCTGCCCTCAGAGTGTAGAGTTTATCAGGGTTTATCAGCATTAGCAAAGTGCTGCAGCCTAATTTGTAGCATAACGATAACAGACCCACCAGAGGTATAGTATGGGGCATTATGGGGCCACCATCAAGTTCCAAAACGTACTCGTATTGTTTTCTTCGTATAATTTGTGATGATTTCTGTAAAACCATGAATGTATCTATGTAAACCAGCTGTTAAGAGCTTTGTAAGTAAGCCTGCAAAGAAGAGAACAGCAAAGTATAATGTTGGCGTTGCTATCGACTGTTTTGCTATAATATAGGAGTGGGAAAACAGAACAAAAATGGGGAGGACCACAACTCTCCTAGAATGTTCTCACATGAGAACACGATTTCATATATGACATTATGCAACATAAGCTGGATGTTCAAAGACTGCGACTTTTCAGAATCTAGCCAAACTGTCGTTCTATATTTAGGGAGTGCGTATACAATTGCGGCGATTAAACACATGTTACCTTCAATGTCTGAAGCTGAGAGTAGAGGAACGGGGATGACGATATGAGGGTAGGTGGAATATTTGCATGTGGCCCAGCTATAGATCTACACACTCTCGATGATTGTAGAAGATTGTACAGCGTTTGAACGTCGGACCCCTGAATGATAGATAAATAACAGGAAATCGGACGGAGAGTCTAATACCTTGACGAGCACAGCTACAGCATCAATAACATCTGGTTTGGCGAAAGATGCATCGTTTGATAAATTGGCCATAGAGCCCAAAGACTTGCTGTAGCGATAAGTTTGCGGTAATGAGTATCAGACAATAACTAATTTTCATCGAATAATAAATAGAGCAACATACTATCTCTTCAACTTTGATGCTTTTTTTGGAGAGATGTCGATCTCTTCCAGCCAGTCATGATCCCCTGATATATCTGCTTTATTCGGACTGCAATGAGGAAACATTAGAAGTTTCAGCATACTACAGCAATCGTTACCTTTCATCAGATGACGATATCCCAGTATTTAGTTTATTCTCTTTATTTTCGTTGAAGCTGGAATCTGCTTTTGTGCTCGTCTCTGAAATATGATGCAAGAAGATTCAATTACTTCAAGACAAGACAAGGAATATGTGTGAAATAAAAATTTATACCATAGGAGAAAAGTGGGGGTTGGCTTTCAGTCATGCCAGAGAAGTCAAATGTTGACTTTGAATCGTCAGAAGCTAGCAAAGAAGTGAACGTTTTTGAGTTCCGCTTTGTCTTCTTACTTATTACTTCGTACTCAATACCTAAATGAACTAGAATTAGTTTTGAAGCACTTGCGCATTCTTCCGAGACTAAAGCACAAGAGTCATCGTGACTTCCAAAATAAACAAAAGTGACTCAATCAGATTTACAGACACTCAAATAGCAACTGAATAGAAACGACTGGCCGGTCAGCCGCGGTATCACATAGGATCTACAATCATTTAACATCAACTAACCTTCACTTCTCAGATACTGACGAAATCCAATGGTGCTAGGTGTGACGATAGCGACATGTCGCAGACCGCCACAAGTCTGAAAACATGATGAAGAATCTTCCGTGGCCGCTGAAAAATAGAACATTCGTCAGTGAAACGATATGCGAGTAGAGGTCAAGGTGCAAAAATACGAAGAAGGGTGAACCTCGTGGACGACGATGGACACTAATCAGATGATTTGCGTGCAAGGAAGATTGAGTAAAGCGTATTACAAAGCAAAATATTTGACCGCGAGATTGTCAAAGATGCTCGACATCGAAGGGATTTTACAGAAACGATAAAGTCTTGTTTATGATGCACCCCAATGACACATAAAAACGTACTTATCTCATCACCGTAGTTGACTTTCGTAAATAAAACAGTGAAGGAGGAGCATGACATGTAGAAGCTTTTTCGATCGCCCTTTTTCCAAGACAGGAACAGTTGATCGAAGCATTCTGTCCTACGATTCAAAAACTGGTGAGAACTGTGCGAATGATATATGAACTGGGAGCACAATTTGTAAAGGATCTCACCACTGCATGTCGAGAGCGTCTAAACACTGTTTTGGTAGAGGTTCTTGCATAACAGCAGAGCTCGTATTAGTCAACGAATCAGCTCGCGGATAGGTCGGCAACCATGGAAAACATGGAAATTGCCAAGATAAACATGCTGACTCCAAAACAGCCATAGCTGATATGTTGGACGGAATATCCACGTTCGAAGGTGAGGCGAACTAAATGCAAAAGAAGCAGCATGAGATTTGTTCAGAAATCATTACTTACCTCGTTTGCAACGCTATTCATGAAACAACGTAGGCCATCATGACGTTCTTGCCCTGTTACGCGAACACTAACAACTCCTAGATAATAAAATCAAAAAGTAAACATGGTGATGCGACATATTCAGGAAACTTACCTGAAGATTTTGGATCTCTTATCCATGGAAACGGCTTCTTGGAGGTTATTCTCAACTTTGTGCCAAGACGCAAATCCAAAGGAATACTTTTGCAACATTGTGCCTCCTCCTTTGGACGAGAAGTGGAAGCTTCATTGAGGAAAATATCGGAGAAATCCGTAGCAAACGATTCCTTGAAAAAGCCGTTCTATAATAATCATAGCTTAGTAATGTTGAATGACCGTAAAAAATTTGAGCAATAACGATCACCCAAAGGTTTGATTTAGATTTGCATGACAGTTGGAATAAAAAAATCGCGAATGAGCCCATATATGATCATACATCATCAAAGCACCGTTCACCCACAATGAGCCTGGTGAGATCTTGGTGCTGTGATAGCGAAGCCCCTAACTTAAAAATTGCTCATGCCCGCTGCAAAAGGTGAATCCTAAAGTGAAAAAATCGCTGCAGAACGTAGAAGCAGCGGGCTGTTCCCATCAACGTAGGTGGTATTTTCGATTCTATCTCAGAAGCTCATTGTTGGAGTCATCATTTTCAGACTATTGCATTGATGAGAAGAGACAACATTGCTGCTTCTACCATTTAGAGCGATTTTCTCGCTTTGGAAGTCATCTATTGCAGCGCCACCTGGGCGATTATTTAACTGTAGGTTCCGACACTGCACCGTATCATCTCACCAGCCTAACTTGCTTTTCAAGATCTGTAGGACTGTGTAAAAAAGAGCTATACTTTGACTATAAGGATTAACGCACTCCGTGATTTACAACATCAAGAGACTCCAAAGACAGAACATCCCAAAAAATAAACAAGAAAATATCATTCAAGTAGCAAACTGTGGCCAATCAAATATTACCTCGATCGTTCGAGAAGAAGATGCACTGTGTATGTGAAGAAGCCTAAATCAATTCAGACAGTTGCAAAACAACTGTCGCATAGATTCACAGTGTATAAGAAACTATATATTTTTTCTCACTTTTCGTTCGAAAACGGATCATTGGCATTCGTGTCATCCCACACGATAGGCACGTTTACAGTAGCGCAGTTTTCTTCAGCAAGTTTACGTCGCTTTTTGAGCGGAGAACGCTGGAGAAGTGAAATTAGTTAGCAGGAAGATACTTAATGCCTAGACTAATTATAGCACCTTGAACGGATTTCTTCTGCTTGACGGTGACGGCAACACCTCGTGAGGAACGTCATCAAAATCCAAATTCTTTACAGCGCTAGCATGGGGTCCAACCAGTGACCGAGCACTATGACAGAAAGGATAATTCTATCATATTGATAAAGACATTTAGAGACTCACCTACTTGTCCTTCGCAAGTGTTTTTTGAGTCTTTCACGAGGATTCTTCCAAGATGGCGATCTACCCTTCTCCATTAGGAAGCCAGTAACTGATGTAAGTCTAAAAAACAACATGCGTCGTAGCTTGTAGTTGTGCAAGCGGTGCAAAAAACAGTTGCCTGTTATCAATGCATGCTATATTTACGTATCAATGACTTTTTTAGAATTTGTGAATTAAAATACATGAGCAAAATAAAGGCGAATTTAAAAGGATGACCGCTCATATCAAACAAGTAACCTAGAATATGCAGCGACAAGCAGGAGGTAGTAAAGTATGAATATCATCTATTTCGAGACTTGAAAGACTGTAAGAAACTCGGAACCGCTTCGCACAAGGTCTAAACAGCTTGAACCTTTGATTAACAAGATAGGCCTTGGCCAGACTTCGCTCAAAAGCGCCCAAAAGCGCTCAAAAGCGCCCAAAAGCGCTCAAAAGCGCGCAAAAGCGCCCAAATTTCTCTGGTGTCTCTTCACTTTCTCGTGTGAGGGGAGATGAGAGAGAGTGGGGAGAGGTTAGAGAAGTTTGGGCGCTTTTGCGCGCTTTTGAGCGCTTTTGGGCGCTTTTGGGCGCTTTTGCGCGCTTTTGAGCTAAGTCTGGCCAGGGCCATACAGTTTATAATTGTTATCTCAAAGGGACAATCCACTACTTGGAACCAGAGAAGAACAATTTCGAGCATAGACAATGCCATAACGGTTTTCGAGTCTCTTAGCCTCACGATAGATGATACCTCAACATGGCATGAAGGAAATGCGAGTGCGATAGGTGGGCCGACAGGACAAGCCATACAAAGACAACATTCGATTGCGCTTCCGTGATTTCTATTAAAAGTGGAAAACGAATGTCAGAAAAAGTTGTTACTGTGAAGTTTATTGGGACTTGGTTATGTCACATGAGTTTTATCATTTGAAGCTTTGTACTTCGCGCGCTTTTATGGAGCGCAGATTGGCTCCGTACCACGAGAGCCGACGTTAATGTGCCAAGGACCCGAAAACATTCATTCGGGGACTAGGGGACAAGAGCCGCTTTGCACACATTGTGAACAAGCTATATCATGTACTAGCTGGTAGTCCCGGTTTCACCCGACACTAAATTAGTCGAATCAAAATGTTTTACTTACACTTTCAAACTTGCGAAAAGAGCGTTGAGACGAACTGCCGCATTCCGCCGACTTCAAGGTTAGAATGAGTTTCACCGCCCTGCTTAAATGTTATTGCGAAATGATTGGTTAGAGCATGCTGAACTTTCACAAATGCAAGTAAACAAATCAATAAGTCAGTAGAATTTCCCAGCGAATCGCTGCAAAAAAATAGCGCTAAACCACCTCTGGGGTCGAATACATATGTGTGCAGAGTTGCAGCCCAATTGGTTCATTGGCTGGCGTTTCTATAACGCACGAATAAACGAACACACAAAGTTTGAGTTTTATATATATACAGATTCAAGAGAAGTACTTGGGCCTACGTCGTTTGGGACTACCTTGGAATCAGGAAAGAAATAAGTTCAAGCTTATTAAGACAAAGTGAAAGCGAATTGAGCCCCCTAGTTTACAACAGGCGATAATAAAAATTTACTATCAAGTGAATCAGGGTCGGTTACTTTATGCACGAGCGCTGGTTACTTAAGTTCATGCAGCATTTACAGGGCTTTTCAACCTGAGAGTCGCAAGTTTCGCTTGCGCAGCTCCTCCGACGCGGCCGCCTCGCTCAGGCCGCGCGCGGCGTTTGTTGCGTATCGCCCGGATTTCGCCAAGCTTCAGTCGACGCGCAGCCAGCGCCACGAACGCTGCGCGGACCTAAGCGTGGCGTCCTAGCGGGGCGGGTGGGACACTCAGGTTGTAAAGCCCTGTACGCCAAGTCGCCCATTGGTTTCTGCGATAATCTTCAAAGATGCGATGACCTCCACACCGATTCGCTGTCCTGTACAATGCTGTTTTGAAGATATTACGGGTTCAAAATTTCCACAAAAGCACGGATATTTTGGAAGTTTTTCGAAGTCCAAGTCTGCAATAACGCCATTATGTTGGGATTACCTACCCGAACAGTGAAGATGAGCAAGCTGAATCATAATGGATTGCGGACACTTTGAAAATCAATCACATGTTTCATAAAAATGTGCAAGTAACTTTTTTTTCACTTTCAGATTACAGAAATGATTATCAGAAATTGAAATTAGCTTGGTAAGAAAAATTCCCGGAGACGCTACCGCCACACCCCTTTCGGTTATTGTAGAGCGCTAAGAAGTTGGGATGCAGCCAAAACTTGAAAGCACGGGTGGAAAAAAGATTCAGGAAGAATTTAAAAAAGGATTCCCCCCCCCCTACCACAGAGATGATAAGAATTTTGCGAGCGAGCAATTTTAACCATAGATCAGGTCGGGACAATTAGGATTTCACATAGCAATCTTACCATTAGTGATCTAAGAAAGCCTTGAGTTCAAAATTGATTCATTGGATTGTACCAAAGTATACTAGAACAATCTGGAGCCAAAGAGTAGGGTGCAAAAGACATCGAGATCCTCTATCACTCCTCAAAAAGCTTTTTCGTTGTTCAAGCATATTTCTTGGCGCTAACAACTCGAGCTCATTTCATACAAATCACAGTGAAAGGCACGGTCTGTCTCAATTTTCAGTGTCTTCGTTCCACCAACAACCGTTTCGTGGGATACGGCGCTGCGGTGCGCCGCACACAAAGGGTCACTGAAGAAAACAGACTGTATAAGCCGTGCGTTAATATCGACAATGATTGTGTTTGATTACTTCGTCTTTTCTCAACACATCAAATAAAGCGAATGTTCTGCGGCAGTTTGGTAATTCTTTAGTCAATGTGGATAAGGGGTTTTTTATTTATCATGTGAAGATTCCTAATCATTCGTACGAGTACAATTTTCTAGAAAAGGAGGGTTCATGAAAATCTCCTTGAAGTCGATTATAATGGTAATATTATTTGGCTTACAAGACATCCCCATGTACAATTTCTCTGTTCACTAAAAATGTCCTTGATGAAATCCAAGGGCCTTATGATCATTAAATTATTCATTCATATTTATATTCAAGCATTTTTGGAAAACATGGCAAATGAGCACAGTCTGAGTATTTTGCCTCCGATAGACTACGGCAAAACCTATGTTTTGCCCTTTCGCAACACAAGCGGGGGGTGAAGGTTCATTCGTCAGCTATGAACATAATATTGGGAACGCTCCCAGCACAAATTATCCACTGATACAACTGAACAACAAACGCCTTGTAGGCTAATGATCAATGAGATTATGGAAGGAGAGTAAGGAGCGGGAGAACCTAAACAATGATGTTGCCCTTGCTAACGGGACCGTATAACGCGTAACAAGGAACGATGCAAATCAACACTTCTCCGAAACAACGTCCTAATCTACCGGTACATCCAGAACACCAAATCTGAGAAGCAAATGACTCAATCTCCCTGTAATGTACGATTGACATCAAAACTAGAAAGGTAGAACCCAGTGTTACATATGAGTTGCTATGCTCTCAAGCGCACAAACGATGCAAGACGTACAGGGCTTTTCAACATAAGAGTCACATCCTCCGCTTGCGCGGCTCTTCCAACGCGGCCGCCTCGCTCAGGCCGCGCGCTGCGTTTGCGGCGTATCGCCCGGGCTTTTGCCAAGCTTCAGTCAACGCGCAGCCAGCGCCACGAACGCTGCGCGGACGTAAGCGACGCGGCCGAGCGGGGCGGCTGTGACACTCAGGTTGTAAAGCCCTGTATCTTTCTTCTTGTAGTCGAGCTTGTTCTACGTTGTAACGCCTTTCCGATAAGATTCCACAGCACACTTTGCCCATTTCCTCTCGATCACTGCTGCCATGCCTTGCCTCGCCCTTCCAAAATTCCTGCAAAAACAATGCATCCTGAGGCGCGCGTTCGTATCGTCAGCAATCCTATCCGGGTGGGTGGGTGGGTCCTGAGCTGACGAAAGACCGGAATGGTCAAAACAGTGCCAAGCACGCGCCTCACAGAAGCTCCGCCCCGCGTGCTTGGCACACAGCCAGCGTGTTGCGAAATTGCAAAACTCCACTTTTGCCTCCGATAGACTACGGCAAAACCTATGTTTTGCCCTTTCGCAACACAAGCGGAACAGGTAAAGCCCGAGGGCATGGAGGCAGGAGTGTAACGAGGTTTCTATCCGAGACGCATTGATGAAGAGCCTGATAATGAATCTCACAGTGACCTAAAACCCCAAATTCTTGAGCCGATGGCGGTTTATCGATTCCACACTCAAAGCGTCGAAAACGAGATATCTGTCTGAAGCACTGCAGATGAACAAAATCAGAGGTCCGAACCGAAAGGCTTAATACATATCACTGAGTGAGCATGCATAGTAGAAATCACTGAGTGAGCATGCAACCCATTGAACCCTAATGTTTGCCTAACATTCCAGCAGAACAATCCTCTGAAATCCACCATTATAATGGGCGATACGTCCTCATGGAAACGTGAGGCTGTAAAGGCTATAGTTATCACCATCGGACTGGGGTAATTCTTTCCAGCTTGAACATGTTGAGCCGCAGCGCCATGACCCTGACAATGTCTGAAGCACTGAAAATGAAAGCGACTACAACATTGCTTTCGTCTGAGTACGCATTTATTGTGCGTCTACCCTCGCTAAGCTTTGCTTTCTTCGAACAGTGTTTGAATTCGCCGTTTCCGACCTTAATAGCATATATATGGAACCTCTAGTATCCATTGAATATCCAGCCACATGGGGGTGGTGCAGGAGGAACCAAAGGGCTGCCGCCTGTATCCGCAGGAGATAATCAAGAGCGCGAGCGGTGTGGAGAATATTTTGGCAAGGATCCAAGAAACTTGGCAGAGAATCCTTTAAGATCATATCTCCATAACTTCGCCTGGAGATGATTTTGAAAAATTTGAAAAACAGATTTATGATGCAAATTGGAAGGCGCAATCACTGGGCCTATAAGTAAGTGAAAATTTGGAATTGTAGTGGTAACAAAAGCCAAATTTTTATAGGAGTTTTTTTGCATGGATTTTGAAGTTTCAAACTGCTGAAAACCGGTGTTTTCATTCCAAATTCACTCTTTTTTCTTAGAAATGAGGAAATGGTTTGCTTTTTGAGTTACTGAACCAAAGCATTCAAACTGTCATAAAAACACCTGCATATTGCATCATGACACAGTTTGTGTCATGATGAATATGCAGGTCCCATACAAATCTATTTGAATTCTAAATTGTGACAAGAGAGATTTCACAGGATTTGTCATTAAAACTATGCCGGTAATCCTTCCGAGGTTGTACACAATAGCAAAAGCCTGATTACCACTCCCTACTTTCAACTAATATCCAAAAATTTCGTTGGAAAGTTCACTTAAAATTTTTGAAACAACATCGATCTTGAGATTCCTCAGTTTTCAATGGTGAACTTTGAAGGCTCAGTTTTGGTAGAAATAGAACTCGAGTGGCGAGGCAGAGTTGTTTATCTATCCTTAGGCGTACTACTGAAAAATGCGTATTTCAACACTGATTCCAAATCTGTGCTTCGTATCTTTAAAAGTTAATTCCAAGAAGAGTTATAAGGATTTCTTTCTAATGGATGTCCTTGCCAAGTTTTCCTGGATCCTTGCCGAAATCTTCTCCACAGCGCTCGCGCTCCTAATTATCTCCTACGGCTACAGGCGGCAGTCCTTTGGTTCCTCCTGCACCGCATCCCAGCCACATAATGGGATCCGTATCGGAACCCCCACAATATGGTGAACACATGGCAATTTCTGGAGATTTCGTTGATTAGGACTCGGTAAATGACTTCCCGTTGGACCATCAGACAGCAATACATGTGAACGGGATCACATTCTCATATACGAAATTGTCCTTGACAAACTGAAAGAGCGCTGCCAGCTTGTTACCAATAATGTAGTCATAGACTGCTATATGCTTCAGACAAAAAGCAATGAGTAGTTGCAATGGGACTAAGCTCGAACAAACCGCAACCATGTGGTAATGAAATAGATTCAAGCAGTTCCGACCGACAACGACTGTGTGGAACCCAACGAAGAGTTGCACTGCCTTCACAGAGATTCACCTGCGTATGAGTTGCCTACTTCTACCGTTAAGCGAAGCGTAAAGGATGACACATAAATACGACCAGTTGGCCACTTGATCCGAAGACTTCACCGTGGCTCGTAGATGCTGCCCTTAGGAATGCTGACAAGAAAACGCCTATTCTGTAATTTCTTCTGCTACCTTAAATCGTGAGAGACTGAGGTCATTAGAACCCTTAGCTATAAAGGCTGAGTGCCCCGCGCTCGAAGCTTTGTTCATCTATACTCCACTTCACTTTGACTTATTCGCCGCTGTTGAAGGGAGATATGTGAATATATATATCCTCGTATATGGAATTGGCACTTACGGTTCTAGTCAGAAGTGCGGCGCAATTCTCGGCTACTTCCTAGGTCCTCGCGACCAATTACATTTCGGCGAGAAGCCGCCATGATTACTCTGACCCCGCGTCGCTTCTCTGATCTTGAGCAAGATCGTCCGCTTCAGCAGCTGGGCAGCACTTCTAGAAGAAAGCCTTAACATATGCGTCACTCTTCTCTCATCAAATTGGCCAGTTTCTGCTGCCTTCCGCAGAGTAGAAGTTCAAAAAACCCGAGCGAAGCCCAAGAACACCTCACTTTCAAATGGACGACCTCGACCTCATTTCATTACTCTAGTTGGTTACCGAGACTACCACACGAGCGTGCAGTGAACTATCAACGTGGCAATACCAGGAACTACGTCCACTATCAACTTTTGGTAAGAAATACGTACACCTCAGCTTCAAAAAGCCGGCTCCAGCTCTCTCTCTCTCTCTCTCTGATATCAGCCACCTCTGCCTACAACCTATTATCAACAGGAATATACTGCAAGCTCAAAAAGGCGAGCTCCTCTCCAGCTGGAAAGATTGCGACTTAGCAACGCGTAAAAAGTAGACTATCACTCGGATACCTCCTCAGGATTAAGATCTAGGACCACCTCGGCTACAATAAGCTCAACTCTCTCACCTGGATCGGGATCTAGGGCCACCTTTTAGTGAGC